TGTGAAACTTAAGAAAACTTTGAAGTTTTTGTTTTATTGCTCTCTTTTACTCTATGATGCACTGGAACGGGTACGGGTGCAAAAAACGGGGACGGAGACGAGAAACGGTAAAGTAAAATTTTCCTAGGTACGGGTACGGCAGGGTACTTCAATAAATATATAAGAAAATACCCATGGAATTATAAATGTAAGTCTTAACATAAAAGAACAATTCGGTTTAATAGTTTAAAGCACAATAAAAAAAATAAGCAAATCATTGAGCAATTCCACTTTCAAAATCAGGGTCATCTAATGAAAGTTCCGTAAACTCCAAGTTCCCTATGGCGTCCTCCATAGAATCCCATCCATCTCCACCAACATNCCACTCCTTACTCTTTNCAGCGTTATATTCATCCATATTCCTTNATAAAAGACGTAGATTGTTATGGATGAAAACCAAGTCTTGAGCACGGCTTNTTGTCAACTTGTTTCTTCTTAGTGAGTGAATGAACGAGTAAGTACTCCAGTTACGCTCAGCACAAGATGAAGAACTTGGTTGTCCAAGAACCTTAAAAGCCAAAGTCTGAAGGAGAGGAGTTTGAGCACCAAAGTTAGCCCACCAATACTTGGGTGGCATAGTAGACATCTCTGAAATGCTGTCTAAATCTTCAAAAGGACCACTCTTCAACGAAAATAATGCAAACTCAGTCATAACTTTACTTTGATCTTCAGTATTGGGAAACAGCCTACGAAAACACTTCATCCTCTCAGTTGAAAGTTCTCTATCCTTATGAGGAGCAATTCTTCTTGAATCCTCACTAAGCCATGCTTCACTATAGAAGCTACAACATACAAAAAAACGTGATATATATATATATATGACACATGTTTGGCAATCAAACAGAAAAAGAAGTTTATATTAAAAATCATGTACCTTGGGTTTAAAGAATGAGCTAAACAATGTAGGGGATTGTTGTTCTTCGTCCAACGAGCCACTAAGATTTCTTCAACAACCTCATAGAAGAAACTAGTGTCAGACAATTCAAGTCCTTCTTTCTTGTATATCTCGGACTTCACCTTCTCAATCATTGAATCNCACATCTCATAAACCAAGTGCAAACAAGGCATGTTAGTGTCGCACGCCCTAATCATATCATAGATGGGTCTTGTGAAATCANTGATATAAGACACCNTATCCCACCAATCATCATTCAGAATCTTGTCCTTAACAAATCTTGCTTTCTCTACGTCATCATCTTTATAAGTAGACCACTCGTCACTTATGACCATGNCTTGAAGGCCGACTTTGATAAGTTTCATTCTCTTAAGCATAACAACAACGGAAGCGAAACGCGTATCGGCAACCGAAAGCAACTTAAGAGGAGAGAACTTACTAAAGATCGATAGCCTCATGTTGTGGTTCATGATAAAGTTTTTGATGGCGAGAGCATCCCCATGGAGTGTGTTATCCAATTGCACGCACCATATGTTTCTGCATTCGCTTCCACGTTCCTTGCTGCACAAATATTCTTCAAAGCAAGATTGAGTGTATGAACAACGCATGGCGTCCAATAGATGTGAGGATACATAGCCTGAATTAAATCTCCAGCCGCCTTACAGTTTGCTGCATTGTAAGTGATGACTTGCACAACATTTTGATGGCCAATTTCGTTTATAACTTCTTGTAGCAAATTAGCAATGAAGACCCCACTCTTCACTTCGCCTGAACAATCCACGGCCTTGAGAAACAAAGGAGCACTTTCAGAAATAGCAATGAAATTAATGAGAGGCTTTCTTTGAGGATCACTCCAACCGTCTGAGACAATAGTTACCCCCTTTTCTGACCATGTTGACTTCAGTTTTACTAATTTCTTCTCAACATGAACTCTCTCTTTATCTAGCAAAGTAGTTCTCAACTTGTTATACCCAGGGGGCACATAACCATCAAGTTTATTGTCAGNANCAAACTGATATGACCTATAATAGTGAGGGTTTCTTGCAAGATTAAACGGCAGACCTGCAGTGAAGAACATTCTTGCGATTTCTTGGTCCAATTGATCCCTTGCTGCAATACCAAATGATCTTTCAATAGGTGATAAACAAGACTTCCTTTTCTTGTAGGCTTGATCCGCTTCACAAGGCAATGGAACTTCTTTTCTTCCCGNCTCTTTCTTCTTCTTCTCAAACTCGTCATCCAACATTTTAAGTTCAAGCTTCTTACTCATTGGTACAGCCTTACAAATAGCAATTCCATACCCTATTTTTCCAAGTAAATGTGCTCTAACTCTGGAATACGAACCTTGTTTAGGTTTAGTGTCACGACAAAAATGACATGTAAAACTCCAAGTTCCTCCAGTTTTTCTCTCTACTTTAGTCACATAACGCCACAAAGGAGCTTCTCCACTTTCAACTTCAAGTTCAACTGATGAATTGGTAGACTCATTACCAACGCTTCCTTGAGAACTATTCACTGCATATGTAAAATAAAAATTTGAAAAGTATCCACTTTCAACTTCTGTTGATTTTTATTCTTCTGTTGACTATCTAGTCTGTTGATCTTTTATTCTTTGAAACAAAATTTAATTTATATAATTTTTTCTTTGTTAATAGAAACAAAAAGAACACGATCAACAGAAGAAAAAACCAAACTACATAATAGACTACACGATCAAGTTGAAACAAAATCTAAATTATTTTATTGTTTAAACAGAGGCAAAACAGAGTGTAGCGATTCCCACTTACTTGTTTTGGACGTGCCGGTGAGTTACTTACGAGTTACGACGGAGTGAAATCGTGATGTGATTGTGAGAGACGTCAAAGCAAACAAGCGTGAAGAAAAGCTGAAGAGAGTTCTAGAGAAGGCGATGAGTCGATCATAGAATGGTATATGCAAACCCTAGTTAAAAAAGCCCATTAATTCCTTTTTTGTTTGTGTTTTTTTTTAGGAAAATTAGTTAAATCTGATAATTAATCCAAGGGACGCCGACTTTTTCGAGGAAACGTACCGGGGACGTCCCAGTTTCTGAACAACGGCGTACCCGTCTTCGGCTGGCCGTACCTTTCTTCACGGGACGTCGCGGGAACGCTCCGATGCAGTACCAGTGGCGTATTTGGTACGGGGACGTACCCGGTACGTGATACGGCTTCAAAATAACGTCCCCGTGCATCATAGCTTTTACTTAATTTGTTCTTTGTGATTACAATCAAGTTATATAGAGATAAGAGAACAATCTAGAACCTAAAGGGATAAGCACAGCTATCTGGTCAATCGGTCAAGAGAGCATCAAAACGGTTTCGCAGCTGGAGCACCTCCTTCTTCGCTCCAACGTCTCTTGCTTTTGCAGGTACAGAGTTTGTCTTTTTCTGAAGCAGTGAAGTGGGCTTCTCGACTAGGCTTATTATAGAAGATTGAACGAGGCCCATCTCGGTTGGTCCATCTTGACTTACATATCCGATATCCGAAAAAAATATCCGAAGAACCCGAACATATATAAAACACATTTAGCCTTTAACCCTAAGTCCCTAACACACTAAGGCCGACTCTATTGCCCAGCTCTTATACGCTTCACTCGCCATTATTG